CAGACATAATTTTTCAGGGTAGAATGATAACACATCATTCAATTTCATAGACTAATACAAAAACTAAATTAGAGCTCAAATTTGACTTTTTGCTGCATTTTCTATGATTTATCGAAGATCAAAATGTTCACATTTAATGTCACTAGATCAGTCCTCTATGACCTGAATGGTTGTTCTGAATTTTCAAACTCAGATTGGAGTCAGAAAATGTGCATAAGGGTGGCTATTCAGGGTTTCCCCCAGTGTATTATAAGTCTGGCGGGCCACCAGGCTTTACTGGTGCCCCCTCCAGGCTAAGCATTGTTTAATTTATTTCAGTCTTTTTAAAACGTTTGCATTTTTTAAGATTTTATATTTGATGTTCAGGTGTTAATTTTCCAATCTTTCAATAACACATAATTATCAAATTACATGTTATTGTTATTGAAATTTGAAAATTATAATTTTCAAATTTTCTGTCAACTGTAAACATTTTTTAACTCAAAAATGCGGCAGGCTGCTGGATGAATGACTGCCCTAGTGCAAAACCACCAGGCTTAGCAAGTTTTCTGAGGGAGACCGTGAATTTATTTATTTGTCTAATTATTTTGTATTTACTTATTTATTGGGTTTTACATTCAAGTCTTCATTGAAGACTGGGACTTGACCAGCATTTTTGAAGAAGGGGCCATGGCCCCCCGGACTCTTCTTTTGGGGCGCCACTGTCAACAGCAGGTCCCTATGGGAGAAAATACAGACCACAACAAAAGCAGGGTGATGTTAAGTTTACAATCTGTTGTCTGTCTTTAAAGAAGTGTCCATGACAACAACCAACCAATTCAAAGTTACCAATTTATTAAGTCAGTTCAAATAACCAGAAATCTGGCAGAAACTTTTTGAGAAAGCATGTGGTTTCTCTGCAACTTTCCAAAGTCTGACACTAATCCAATTAGTCAAATTTAAAGATTTAGAGAAAGTAACTGGGTATCCAATTCTTACTTTTAAAGAGTGTTGAATTTATATGTTGTATCACTATTCTAAACTGGACAAAAATGGATAAAATGCATCATTAAAAGCCACAATAATTTGACTTTCACACCAATGATGAGTGTATACAAACCTCTGACCAGAACTCCAATAGCATGCTGCAGAGTTCGAGGAGCACTCCTCCTCTCACAGTGGCTCATATGTATGAAATTTGCTAATTGATTGCTATTTAGAGTTGAGTGGTCGACAGTGTGCATCAAATGAAATGCAGAGCGTTTAATATCACTATTAGCACCACCGGTTCTAATTTTACCAAGGTGTTCATGTCCTCTGCTTTAATATGGTACATAATGTACCACTTAAGTTTGCCACTGAAATGAGAGCTGTTTATTTTAGATTGTGTTATGTGATAACTGTAGAGCGCAGGTGATTTACACTTGACCACTGGCAGTAAAATCCATCCCAAATGCTTAATCCACTACAGTCCAGTATCGACCCGTTATGATAACCTGAGGCTTTGAATTAAGACGTCTTTTGAAACCCGAGGGATTTGTGAAAAATGTAAGGCTGTCATCCAAAGACTTTTAATGTTTAGGATCTGCAGAAACTATTGAACAAAATATACTTTAGGGGTTTATTGTATGTTGTTGACGTTAAAAACACACAGCTCCATTGTTGTAGTGACGTTAAGCTACTTTAAAATATTTTATTGTTCATAAATCAATCAGTCTGATAAACTAACAAAATATATATCTGAAGATTTTAATTTTATCTTCACTGGAAGTAACGCCTACTTCATGAAAAAAGCAGTATTCAATTTTAATTGAGTTAAAATCAGTAAAAAAAAAAAACAATAGCACTTTAATTGAAGATTATGAAACATAATGTACCACTTAAATTGATTAATATGACAAGAACCACTGAGAGCTAATCACTAATAGAATCAGGACTTAAAAACCAACTTGCATCCATTAAAGAAAATCGAAGAAAAATCAGAGAAAATCGACAGAAATAATAAAGCCTAACAAAACAAAAATCAATAATGCATGCAGATTAATAATGCTTATTGTATTCTAGAAAGTGAGATGTTTTATTCCCAGGAAATTAATGTTCAGTCTAATATTAAAAAAGTAGAGAATATTATAAACTTTTTGCCAGTTTCTCTGCAACTTTTGAAAGTAAAAAAAAAAGAAAAGAAAAAGAAAAGAGTTGAAATCAAGATTTAGTACAAGGCTTTGTACACAGGTAGCCGGATCTTTATAAAAGTGAATATCAACGCCTCATCATTTTAAAAAAATGTATATCATACACGGAATCAGTTTCAGAAAAGTTGTCGTCCACATGAATCTGCACAAATACGCACCTGAGTTTTGCTTTAAACATGCCAATCCCATAGGGGGAAGCGTAGCGCAAAGCGAAAACCTACGTCAGCCAATCAGAATGCTTCAAAACAACCACGACTTCCTGTTAAGAATTCAAACAAGCGCCAGAAGGTTAATTAGTGTGGACAGATATGGAGGTAGAACTACTTTTAACAAGCGAATATAAAGTTACAAAAACGCAAGACGATGTTGATTGGGAATCATATCAAAGCAATTATCATGTTATATTGGCACATTATTTTTCCCAGACTCTAAATCTCTGTTTTCCCACATGTACATATCACTAATACAGACTTTTCTGAAATCTCCACTTTGGTTATAAATAACTGAGTTAGTGATATTTACTGAATAAGAAAAACATTTTATCATTAAGATTGATTATAAATAGATACAAGGTTCACTGATTTTATTTCATGAGCCAGATAGAAATAAACAAATGTATCCTTTTTGCTGCCAAGAATTAAAAAATTGGATATTGCAGCCTTGCAAAGTCCTGTGCCTCACATATTTGAATATCCAGGCCTCCACCTGCAGGAATAAGAAGTTGTTTTGACTAGACCTATTGGTCTACAAGGACATTTTTAATTGACCTCCAGAAAAGCAGTTGTGTTTGTTTTAAAAGTGTTGATGAAATGTGTCTGTCATTTAAAGACACAACATCAAATTGTGTTCCTCTATCATCTATTAATCTCCCTCCTTCAAATTCTCAGATCGCAGAAACCTTTAGCACAGACCATTGCTAAAAAACTGTCGAATCATAATTAATGGTTATAAATTACACCATCTAAATAACTCTCCGCCTTCTTGAAGCTCTGGTGTGTAATTATGTGTGCAGCCACTGAGGCACAGCGTCATTTTCCATGTTGAGTTGAGAATACTTTATTTAATGTTAATGAATAAATATTCTCCCGGGGCTCCGACTGAATCGGATTAGCACACATATAATTTTCTGCCTTATCAAGTTCCACTGGATGAAATAACTCATCTCAACTCGTTCGCTGAGGTCAGCGCCTCCGTTTCCCTCCCGCTGGCTTCAGTTGTGGCCTTTATTTAAGAGCTTTATTGTGCAAATAAAGACGTCTTTGTAAACAAATAAGCTTGTGTTTGCTTAGTTGGGGCTTTGCTTTCTATTATTGGATGTTATCCCCTAATGTGTCTTGACACAGTGGTCTGGAGTAATGGCTCTGAAATGCTACGCCAAATCAATGCCTGGTGCCTTTTCCTCTCTTAGGTAATTTACTTGGTAATGAGAGACGGTGCGGAAGGCTGTCTCTGCAAGCTCTGAGAAGAGGTAATCTGTTTTCCCACTGATTCGGGCAGGTTAAAGAGTCTTGGGCTGCTAATTAATTAACTACAAAACACTGAAGTAGGATTTCGCTGAAGGGCTCAATTTGGGTGATCAGAACCCCTCGCCCTTCTGCAGCCTGGAGAGTTTCCTCGATGTCTGCTGGTGAACTTTGTCACCGTCATAAAAGCAGGCATGTCAACATCTGTAACGTACAAAAGTCGTCCTTTGTTTGGTTTTTGTACACATGAGCGAGCTGTGTTCCTTCTTGTCTATAAAGCAATCTGTATCAATCAAAATTGATCTAAATGAGCTGGCATGTCAACAGAAGACACGCTCCGGAGTGGTTTTCACGGCCAGAGATAAGGTCAAAAAAGCCATTTTGGCCATCATAAAAGAAGTATTGTCATGCTATTGATGCCATTTATTACCTGACAAGGATGGTTGGAGGAAAAAAGGAGGAAAACGATCTGGCCTAATGCTCTGAGGAGACTGAAACGGTTGATGGAAAAATCTATTAACCTTGCCCCGAAAGTGAACTTGCTGATATTTGAGCACGATTTTATTTGTTGACAAAAATAACATCTGCTGCTTTGTTGATATGTGACATAACGTAGCATAAATCCCTGCGTATCTGTGTGTTTGTACATAACGTGTCCTGACATTGAGCCTGGAACAGGAACCACAAATCAGGCCATTCTAATAGTTAAAGGGAGATATGTGCTTTGACGGTCAATCACAAACATAAATTATAAAAAAAGGAGATAAAGCTTAAAATATAGCATGCGGAGCCTAATGAATGTCTTGGAAGAGATGGCACCTTCTATGCTTGTTGGCACTCCAGATAAAAATGCTTTAAAAAATGTTGAAATAAATTAAATTCAAATAATAAAAAAATGAATTAATATTTTATTGCAGTAGCATGATTACACACTGTAAAAAAACAAAACTAAATGACTCCTGTAACATACATTTAAATGAAGCAATGTTTATAATTATTCCTTAATTTTCAAGTTGATCAAAGTGTGTTTGAGCTTTTAATAAGCAACCCATGACTTCTAGACTTTTTGCTTCTAATCGTTATGCAAAATGGGAAAGACAGGAGAACTTGATGAAATCGATGTCTCAAAAAGAACATGTCTGAAACTGATGTGCATATATATTTTAATTTGTATTTCCAAAATAAGAAGGTCAGTGTCAAAACAGGAACTTGTGTTTTTTATGATTTTATTTATTCTTGTCTACATATCTTGTACATGTCTTCATATCTGGACATGCTTTTTGATTTCAACTGTTCCCAAACCTAAAGAAAAGTAGTGTTCTGTCTCAGCTTGGAAACTAACTGTGATATCTTTATGTCTCTGCAGGGTTTGGGATGACGACGCCTGTGACAATTGCAGGGAAGGTGTTCCTTATTTTTTATGGACTTCTAGGCTGTGCTGCCACTATCCTCTTCTTTAACCTCTTCCTGGAGCGCATCATCACTCTGCTGGCTGTAGTGATGAAGGCCGTGAGGGAAAGGAGAATCAGGAACAGCGGTCTCCTTCCGCCAGGGATCCGGCATGACTTCTCGGCCTACTCTCTGCCGGGATGGAAGCCCTCCGTCTACCACGTGATGCTGATTCTGGGACTGTCGGCCATTACCATCTCCTGCTGCGCGTCGGCCATGTACAGCCCAGTGGAGGGCTGGGCCTACTTAGATTCGCTCTACTTCTGCTTCGTCACCTTCAGCACCATTGGCTTCGGAGACTTCGTCAGCAGCCAGGATGCCGCTTACGAATACCAAAGCCTCTACAGGGTGGCCAACTTCTTCTTCATGTTAATGGGTGTCTGCTGCATCTACTCGCTCTTCAACGTCATTTCCATCGTCATCAAGCAGGTGCTCAACTGGATGCTGGAGAAAATGAGCTGTTTGTTTTGCCAACGTTGCAATAAGGCCAACGCCTTCCTGGGGAGGCGAAATGCCATCCGCCCGGGCTCCAGGGGTCGCAAGGGTCGCTTCAACCATCAGCCAGAATCAGACGGGCCTTGCGATAGTGACACTGAGGGACGGAGACTATCAGGGGAAATGATCTCCATGAAGGACCTGGCGGCATCGAACAAGGTGTCGCTGGCGATCATGCAGAAGCAGCTGTCTGAGTCTGCCAATGGATACCCCAGGACGGTCTGCGGCAGCTCCCGCCATAACGGCTTCTCTGGGGGGGTCGGGGCGCTCGGCATCATGAACAACAGACTGGCTGAGACGAGTAACTCAAGGTAGAACGCACAGAGAGGCGGAAAACAAAGCATTCACGCTCCTCTCAAGCCACACTGCAGAACGTTGACATGCTAATGAAAGGATAACTTGTTATGCATGAGATATATCGTCTTTACTCCTGACTGGGATTACAAACCTGCGGTGAGGATGGCGGCATGAAGAGAGAATCACAGAGTTGATCTTAAAGCATGGCGACCCTATTCTAGACCTAAAGCCCTGAAATAAAACAAATCACTAAAGAGCTTGGCTGGAATCCCTTGGTGCAATCGTTCAGCTCGTCAGACTTTTTATGGCTGAATCATTGAGCTGAACAGAAGCCAAGTGAAGCAAACTGCACAGTTTTTACTGTCTTGGGGTGTTGCCAGGTCATTTGAATGTACATATTGGATGCTGACGAAAACAAGTATAACCACTGAATGATATAGCACATACTGATCTATGCATTACACTTCTCATGCATTTTTGCACCATTTCTCAACCTTCCATATTTTTCTCCCCTACCACATCCTTTTGGTGATGATTGATTTCTTTTCCGGGGGCCAACAGTGAAAAGTAGACTTTCACCGCATGGCCGTGATGTAGCTGATTAAAACAGGGTTGTAGCACAGGATGCCTTTCCAGTGCTACACCAACTGGATACAAAGGGTTATTTCCTCTCTCTGAAGATGGAAGAAACATGATGAATGAAAATCTATTTCATGTTAGAGAGGGACTGGCTTTCTTATCAGCTATAAGCACATGCTTGAGTGGCCGTGGACATTGACTTGTCGGGTAAAAGAAGGCACCATCCAAATCTTTCTTTCTCTCTGCCATATGTGTTAGGCTTAACAGTGAGGATGATAACAAGTTTTAGTGTTTAAATAGTTATTGATTGCAATATCTTTGCAAAACAGAATAAATGAGAAAACATACCGAACATAGGTTGAAGACGTTGAGGAGATACATTCAAGTGCAAAAGCTTGGTCATAAATTTGTTTCTGATTTCAAAAAGTTGCAGATTCAGTGCCTTGTAAACGTACTCTTACCGCACGAAAAGTTTATTATATTACGACCACAAACTTCAATGTATTTTGTCGGGATTTTATGTGATTGACCACAGCAGTGCACACCTGCAAAGCACAAAGAAGCCTTTTCAAATGAAAACTGTTCAGTTCCCTTTATTTGACCAGGTCAGGAATAAAGTTATGAAGAAGTTTAAAGCAGCGATAGATTATAAATCATAGGAAGCTCTGTTCTAACCCATCATCTGAAAGTTGGAATTAGTATTAATCGAAGAGAGCATTAATCAGAGACATCCGAGGTAACTCTTGAGGAGAATCTGTTCACAAGACAAACTATCAGCAGTGCCCTTCAGAAATCTAGTCTTTTATGTTTGAGTAGCAAAAGAAAACTTTCTGGAAGAAAATCTGAAATAAATCCTGTTTGCAGTTTGCCAGAAGCAAGAGAGCAAACATCTAAAACAAACCTCTGCAACTCCACTCCTCAAGAGCCGCTGTTCTGCAACTTTTGGATACATTCCTGCTCCAAAACACCTGAATCAAAAGGCTGAAATACATCCTTGGTATGTCAGAAAGTTTTGCGAAAGCTACAGTCACTAATCATTCATTGTATTTTGTGTTATTGTAGCAGGGATGTTGTGGCACTCGAAGACAGTGCTGTGGTGAAATGAGACTAAGATTTAGCTTTTTGGCCTTTAAGCAAAATGGGAGACTTATCACCGTAAACATGGTGTCCCATGGTGATACATGGTGGTGGCAGTGTCATGCTGTGAAGATGTTTTTCCTTAAGCAGGTTCAACAGATCATGGTGGAGGTAAAACCAGGGCAAACCTGGAAGTGAACTTGTGAAAGGCAGCAAAACAAGCGAGACTGCTTCACTTTGCAGAAGGACAAATTTAAACATACAATAAGATTGTTTAGATCAAATCATATGCATGTCTTAGAGTGACCTAGTCAAAGTCCAGTATTCTTCATGAGTCAGAAGAAACATAGAACAATGTCATTTTTCCTACACTTTCACTAATGCACTGCTTTGTGTCTGCGTATCTGCGTAGAGATCAATAATGTTTGTGCTTTTAATTTGAAAACAGTTTTAAGGGATGTGAATATTTTTGCAAGGCATTGTACAAATTAGAAAAATACTCACCTTCATTTATTTGAGGTGACGGATCACTTCAGAGGTTGTCAGCTAAAACAAAAGTCACATTAAAAAAAAGTGACGAAATATCTTAAGTACTTTTAGAAAAGACTCAGCTGTTTGAAAAATCACAAAGTATTCAAAACCAGTGAGGCTGGAGCAGATAAAAGGGAGACAGCGGAGCATCTCCAGGCAGCAGAGTCTTTCTACCTTGTGATTGAAATAAGAACCGATGACCAACAGAGAGTCTGAAGGAAGAAAACTTTCTAAAAGAAGTATTCACACATGACAAAATCTGCATTCGACTTCAAATCTTCCAGTAGATCCAGCTGACTGAGTGGTGCTGTTGCAGCTTTTACAGTCCAGCCACACTCTCGTAAATATTACAGCTTTGCAAGACTTTTAAAAGATAGTTTCTCATTCTTGATGTTTTATGTTCGCTGCTCTTTCTGCTCTTTAGAGGGACACATGCAGATTTTTGATGATGTTTAGCTTGGGGACTTAGCATCCCTCTAAGAAAAGGTTCCCAAAGCAGGATCGATACCCGCCTACTACCAGGAATCAGATGTTTTATGAATACCTGTGTTCTTTATTCTACGGGCAAACCTTTGTTTGCCATGATTTAAATCTGAAGCTTTATTCTAACTGCTCATGAAAACTCATTTCATTTGCTTCAGGCCAAAAAAAATCACCTTAGTGTGAAGGTGCTGTTGGATAACATCGAGTCCTCTATACAGTCTTGCTTAGATATTTCTGTTTCTATGAGATATTCATGTGTTAGATATATGAAGCCATGTGATGTTTGATGTTCAGAAACATCGACTCAACAGAGGAGGATACATTTACAGCTGAACTGTGTTGGTGACAGTGATGTTGGTAACGGGGGGGAAGGAGCGGCAGCAGAAAGTTGCGGCGGCGTTAATCGACCCCTTCCAGAACCAGATTCATGCTCAATGCAAATTTACGGCTACGGGATCACCCACTGCCACCATCTATCTTCAACATCTAACGTCCCTCAATGCACTTTTTGTTTTTTTTTTCTTTCTCTTTCCTGTGTTTCTCCATCATCTCTCCTTTGACTTTGCACGCACTGAAGCAAACCCCTTCCTGCTTCCTTTTCTTTGCAGATCTGCTGCTCCTACTCTTACACTGTGAATAACAGGCATGTCATAAATGTATATATGTAAAGAACTGGAATGTCTTTTAAAGACCGTTCACAATAGGGTGTGGACTGAATTCGAAGCTCTGAGTTTTAGTGCATAGATCTGAATAATTTCTTTTGCTCCCTATAGTCTCAACCAAGAGGAAAAGAGAAAATGACTCAGGTAGTTAAATTTTCAGGCCTGGCTTAGTTTTTTGTTTGTTTGTTTTTTTCCTGCATGCCATTATGGTAAAGCCATAGCTGTATATAAAACAGAGTACTGTTTCAAATCTATTTTTCTACATATAGCTCAAATATCTACACACGGAACAAAGTCTCTGCTTCAACTTGTCTGTCATACAGTCTCTCAGCAGAAAAATGGAATAAAGGAACCAGAATTTGTCCATCCTGCAAAAGCACGAATACAAGAAGAGAATGAGAGCAAAACATTTCAAAATGCACAGAACTTGTTGCATTTGTTACTGTTTTTGATTGGAACAAGTTTATATTTTATATTTCCCCCAAAAAACAGACGAATGTTGAGGTGGGGATGTGTTAAAGCTTACAGCAGCACTACAGCAGTGAACTTACACACCCCTAAAATGTTTTAGCAGTCATATGGGTGTTCTGTACCAAATTACATATTGAATCCAGTGATGATTTCCCTGCTGTAATTTATCTCCAAGGGTTAGAAGGAGTTGAATTGCTGACACCTCTTTAAAATAATCAATAAGGAGTAAATAATGTCATATGAACCCTCACCTTTCCTCTAAGAGCTAAGGTTTAAGTGGTGGGGGTTTCATTACTTCCTTCAACAATACATCTATATAATCCATAACCTTACTCTCTAAAAGGATGACATTCTTTAGTATTTTGTGCCGTCAGCTCATACTACACTGGACTGAAAAAAAAAAATACTTCTTTGAATTCTTTCTTGAATATAGACCACTGCTCTACTGAAGATGTTGTAATATGATCATGTTTTAATCTGTGTTTTTCCTCAAACTGAAAACACGTCAAGCTTTTTAAGATACAAGCAGTGGCGCTCAGATATTTGCATAGACTCATCATGATATGACTACAGCGGTTTAAGGATTTTTATTGTCAACAAAAAACACAAAAATGCACCTTAGATGTTTTTTAAAAGCAGGAAATTTACTTTGAACTTATTGTGGATTTTCTATAATACACACAGTAAAAGGAATTTAAATAGATGCTTGAATGTATACACATACACCTCCACTAAATCAAGAATGTTTTTGCAGTCGTCAACCAGGTCCTGGTGTAATTTTGGCTAAATATTTGACCACTTTTCTTCTCAAAAATGGAAGCACTCATTTAAAATGGTTACCTTCATGACATAAACTTGAAGAAAAAAAAAAAATCAGGTTTGACAAGAACATCGGAATTGGGTCACTTCAGGCTACAGTGTGAACGGAGCCAAAAACCTCTGGAATGTAACGTTACAAATCACTGGCGTTACCTAGCAACCCCAGTGAAGCTCAGTCCGTTACTTAGCAACCCCCGCGGAGCTCCAGGACATTTAGTCAGCAGAGAGATCTTATTATCTCAGAAAGATCTGGTGCAAGAAAACGTAATGAACATGTTTTGTGTTGCCCACAGACCTGTCCGAACCTGTTCTAGGGAGCATAACTGCTCACCTTTAAGTTGTTATTGATTACTTTGGAGGTCACCCAGCAGCACTGAAACACTAAAACAGACACTCAGGATGATGCTGCCACAACCTTGCATGTGTTCTCAAAGTTTGAAAACCTCAACTTTCACACTCCAAGCTTCCTTCTTGCTACTGTGGTCAAACAACCCAAACTTTGTTTCAGCTGACCATAAACCATTTATCTACCTGGATAGCTTATGTGATTGATCTAAACATTAATAAGGCTCATTTATCCAAGTATAATGGGGTGTGTGTGTATATATGTTTAGCCTGTATTTAAAATTCAAATCCTGTATGGCTTAAAAAAAAAAAAAAAAAAAAAAAAAAAAAACCCAAAAGGAAATTTAAAAATTTAATTTTTTTTTTTTTTGAAAAATCCCCCCTAAAAAA